CCCCTTGGGGAAAAGGGCGGCATACAAATGAAATAAACAAACAAACAAACAAACAGGTAGCTCAAAATTATCCAAACTCCCTCCCCCCTTAACTGAATGGAAATCTTAGGAGGTACAGTTGGATAGCAAAAACCTGCTCAGCTAACGGCTACTGGTCAATTTCTTTTGGATTCTAGTAATTTTCAAAAGAAGGTGGGATAAACTAGAAGTCAGCTTTAACTACCCTGTTTCCCCCAAAATAAGACAGTGTCTTATTTTCCTAGACCCCCGAAATAAGCGCTTGACCTTATTTTCCGGGAGGTCTTATCATTTTTGAGGTGGTGGCAAGCGTGGTCACCTCATGGCTGCTGCCGTGTCGCAATATTTTCGGGGAGGGCTTATTTTTGGAAAAGGGCTTATTTTAGCCCATGCGCTCAGAAGCCTGATTGGGCGTATTATCAGGGGAGGTCTTATTTTCAGGGAAACAGGGTATATTTAGATCATGGTAGTACATTATAATACATTTAGTATGTTAAGGATTCCTCATTTAAAAATAGTCTCACTCACTTCCTTGTTACACTTCATCCCCGCATGATGGCACATCATATGATGGTACATGATCATCTGTCTTGAAACTATTTTTTGCTGATCTGCTCATCTAGATGTACCAGAGTAACAATTAAAAAAAAAAATTAGAAAGAGGGGAGATTCCAAATGAGACTGCCTGGTTTATTTTCTTTTCTTTTTAATTGCTACTTTAATTTTTACTTTATTTTACGTTGCTTTCAAAAAAAGAAGTGTCAATTGAAAGCTTTAAAGTAGAACGTTCAACACATGCACAAACTGAGACTGGGAACAAAGAATTTGTTGTCTTCATACAAAAAGTAATTTGGGCCTTGCAGTTCAAAACTTCTGAAATCTTTATGGGAGGGGGGAGGGCAGCAGAAAGGATTCAGGCTGAGTTACTTCTCTACACATTGCCTCCATTCACAACCCTCTTTAGCAACCTTTGCATTAGATCAGTGTTTCTCAACCTTGGCAACTTGAAGATGTCCGGACTTCAACTCCCAGAATTCCCCAGCCAG